CCCCAAAACCCCAAAACCCCAAAACCCCAAAACCCCATTTCAGTATAAAAATTATTTAAGTTAATATTTAGAATTACATGGAACAAGTACCAATGGAGATAGGCAGAGTTTATGAATATGCTGAGTTCTGTACGAGGAGAGATGAGCATTGGGTGCAGTTTCAGGAGTTGTTAGAGAAAATACAGCAGGGAACGCTTGGTAAGGGCTTTTGAGTGGGAGGTGATGGTAATTGGGCTTATAGAGGAAATAATGGACCATATTCATACGCTGTACTACCTAGCTCAGAAGTAATTGGAGTATTTGATAAGTTTAGGCTCATTTGGTATAAAAATTTGAAACCAAGACCACTCAGGGGATTAATAGCTCTAAAAGATTACGTGGTTCAGGAGACCGAGCAAGAAGAATTATTTGTGGAAGTCATGCATTTTATCGCAACTAGAGCACTTGATATAAAAGACATGTTTCCTGAGGACAAAGTTAGGATTCTCTCAACTCACCAAGAGACATGAGAGAGCTACACTTCAGTACAAATCAGTTGAGCTATTGCTCATGGATTTTTCTGATTAATTCCGGACCAAGATAAGAGGCTGAATTTACCATTCCCAATAAATTTTACATTGTGGCACTTAGAAGAAAGCCCGATTGGGCTCGAAAAGTTGAAATTTTTCTTCAATTATTTCAACTCACAGCATTGAATGCCTGAAGACGGTAAGGACTTCTCCTTGTAGGCTCTAATGATATAGAGAGATACATCAGCTTTGAGAGAAAATGAATCCCTGAAATAATTTACGATAATCTTGGTAAATTATCAAAGTTACTTTAGAAAATGACATTTGGGCAAATTCTGATACCACCTTGGCAAGTGTCTTCTTCGACGACCAAGGTAAGATAGAGGATGAAGAAGGATCACTGATGGTCGATTTTGCAAATAAGTACATTGGTGGTGGCTGCATGAAACTTGGATGAGTTCAGGAAGAAATCTTGTTTCTGATATATCCTGAGCTATTAATGGCTCTGATGTTGTGTCCCAAATTAGAGAAGAATGAAGCCATTCACATCTTTGGAGCAAAGAGATACAGTAGCTACACAGGATATGGATACAGGACAGAATATACCGGCCCGTATGAAGACAAACAGCCTCTTGATGCTGACGGAAGGATTGCAAGGATCTTTACAGTAATTGACGCAATTAATTTCGGAAGCATAAGTTATGAATACAGTCAGTTCAATAAAAAATCTCTGTTAAGAGAACTCAACAAAGCTCTTATTGGATTCAGCAGCTTCACAGGTGAACCTGAAGATGATAAGCTGGTGGTCAGCACAGGCAACTGGGGATGTGGAGCCTTTAATGGAAACTGCGAGCTGAAGTTCATGATACAATGGATGGCAGCAAGCTTCCAAGGCAGAAATATGAAATATTTCACATTTGATGACGACAAATGAGAGTTTTTATCAGAAATCATAAAATCCTGTAAAGGAAAGACTATTAGAGAGATGTATGACATTCTTCTCAGTCACAGTGCTTATTTAAAAGCCAACACTAAAAACAAGTAAGTCTTTCGGTCTCATTATAGATTTTCAAAGCCCAAGAAGGATGCTTTGAGCAAATATATAACAAAAGTCTACTACAAGAGGCCATTTTAGCTAAAATCCTATTCAAAGTTCAAATGCCAAAAGGGGTTTTGGGGTTTTGGGGTTTTGGGGTTTTGGGG